AGTCACTGTATCAAAAAGAACTGGTCGATCTTCATCCACTTCAGGAGATAGCATATGATCTAGAACCAATGGTACTGAAAGAGGAAGTCAAAGCTGCAATGAAGGAATTGGTGAAGAACAAGGCTCTGGGAATTGATGGAATACCCACTGAGATATTTCAATAAATGGATGCCGCACTGGAGGCACTCACTTAGTTATGCCAAGATATTTGGAAGACAGCTTCCTCACCAACTGACTGGAAGAAATCCATATTTGTACCCATTCCAAAGAAAGGTGATCCCACAGAATGTGGAAATTATTGAATAATAGCATTAATATCACATGCAAGTAAGATCTTACTGAAAATAATTCAAAAACGGTTGCAGCAGTATATTGACAGAGAACTTCCAGACTATATGAAGAAAAACGTGGCATCAGGATTGGAGGAAGAATCATGAACAGCCTGAGATATGCTGATGATACAACTTTGCTTGCTGAAAGTGAGGATGACTTGAAGCACTTACTGATGAAGATTGAGGAACACAGTCTGCAGTATGGATTACCTCTCAATATAAAGAAGAAAAAAATCCTTACAACTGGACCAATGCACAGCATCACAATAAAGGGAGAGAAGATTGAGGTTATCAAAGAGTTCACCTTGCTTGGTACTACGATCGATGCCAATGGAAGCAGCAGTCAGGACATCAGACGATGTGTAACATTGGGCAGGTTGGCTGTGAAGGAACTCTTTTAAGTACTGAGGAGCAAGGATGTCTTCTTGAGGACTAAGGTGAGCCTGACACAGGCCATGGTATTTCCATTTGCCTCTATGCATGTGAGAGCTGGACAATGAATAACGAAGACTGAAGAAAAGTTGATGCTTTTGAGTTGTGGTGCTGGCGAAGAATGCTGAAGGTACCATGGACTGCCAAAAGAACTAACAGATCTGTCCTGGAGGAAGTGCAGCAGAGATGCTCCTTGGAAGCAAGGATGGCCAGACTTCGTCTCAACTACTTTGGTCATTTTGTCAGATGGGACCATTCCCTGGAGAAGGATGTCATGCTTGGTAAGGTGGAGGGTCGTCGAAGGAGGGGAAGGCCTTCCATGAGGTGGATTGACATGGTGGCTGCAACAGTGGCCTCAAGTATAGCGAGGATCATGGAGCTGGCGCAGGATTGGGTGGTGTTTCGTTCTGCTGTTCATGGGTTCGCTGTGAGTCAGAAACAACTTGATGGCACCTAACAACAAAAACAACATCAGATAATGTTCTCTTATAATCCTTAGGGTTTTCACTGGCTAATTTTTGGAAATAAATTGTCAGGACTCCTCATTCTGTCTTGTATAGAAACTTCACTGAAACCTGTCCAACATGGGTGACCCTCATGGTATTTTAAATATCAGTGGCATACCTTCCAGAATCATAGCAACACAAAAGCCACTAAAGTATGACAAGCTGACAGACAGGTTGTACTTAACCCTGTAAAATTCTTCTCATTTACCAGGGCTTCATAAAACATGTCTGGGAAATACCATTTCACCAATCTGCTGAAGTTATATGAAGACAGCCTACTAAAGATGTTGAATGAATCTCAGGAATGGTGAACAGTCAATTGAGACTGCAGGACTGTAAGTTGAAGTACTCAAATAAGTATCAATTTACTATGGCCTTGAACTTGAAATATAGATATGAAGAAAACTGAGATAGAAAGCTAGGGTGAATAAAGGTAGATCTTGAACAGCAAACAGAAAGATTTTTATCTCATTCTGTGAAAAAAGGACCTACTGAAAGTTTCCATGTAAAATTAGTTGGATGGTTGCCCTTTAGTGGCTGAAATGGCATGGGTTGACCGGCTGGAGAATGGGAGCTGAAAACCTAGTCTAGTGGTACCTGGGCTGAGAAATTGAGTGTCGGAACTAAGGCAGGGATGAAGTTTGGGAAACGTGGGCTGATTATATGTTTTCTATGTCTAGTGTTTAATATTTTAGAGTTGATTGTTCCTGAAAGTTTTTTTTTTTTTTTTTAATCCTCTTTCCTGTAGCCTGTCCTTTCAAAATCAGAACTTAAGGCTGATCGTAAAAGATAATTCTGTCCCATGCTATAAAATTAAACTTAATTTTTGTTCCTGAACTGCTGCTGTCTGCACACATGTTTTTATTGAGATACAAGATTGGCACATGCTCTTTGTTTCTGAAAACTGACAAGAGAAGCATGAATTTGCCCTTACAAGACAGTGCTCTGCCATTGTCCACGAGATTGAAGTGAACAGGGAAAAGATATGAAGCATAATCAGCTTTAACCTCCGTGAAGAAGTTATTACACAAATAATGAAGCAGAACCTCTCCAATTTTAATAATAATAGAGTGGCTACCATTTAGATTACTGAATCAAATTAATGAACTAGCTAGTGAAAAGACAAAACAACCAGAAATAAATGCAAAGATATATTTGCACCCAAATGCTCTTTCAACGTATAATTTGGGTGGAGTAGCTAAGTTTCAATTCCCAAGCAGCTATAGCATCTCCACTGCACTTCCTCCAGGACAGATCTGTTAGTTCTTTTGGCAGTCCATGGTACCTTCAGCATATAAAAGAAAGTATTACGTAGGTATCCACTGAGTGTAGAGCTGAAATTATTCCTCCTTGAGGAAGAAAATTCAAGGACAATAATAATAATAATGTACATGATCAAGTGAAGTGAGCTTAGGTGAGAGACCACAAACAAAGGCACAAGCCAGGCTGCCTCTTTAAAGGAGAAAAGGCTCTGCAATGAGAGGCAACAACAAAGCCAAGGGGTCCTGTGTTCCATTTCTAAATTATACCTTCTTCTGGTTCTCTGTTCATTTATTACAGTAATCCTCCCTTTGCCCCCACAAAGGGGCAAAAGAAGACTCATCAGGTAGTGGGAAAAAAATGATAACAAGTAGCATCGTAGACATTTCATTATTCAACACTGAGTAAGATTATTACGTATACGAAATCATTTCCCCAGGAAATTGAAGTGCCATTGCTTTCACTGTTAAAACTACACTTTGACTAATAGAAAGTCTGTTTTATTTAACATCATCTAACAAGACTGCATAAATACATTTCTCTTCCTTGACCATAGTTATATATAATCCAGAACATTATAAAACATTCTCTTGACCTGAACTGGCAACATGACTAGATTCATTATTCACTCTAAACTAATGAGATTATTTGTTCAAGTGATGCTATTAATGGATTGCATAATATTCATCAGATAAAGTACTAATAAAACGTTGAAAGCAAGCAAATTAAGTCATTGCAGGCCTCAGAGAGGAATGACTGGGCCTGCCATGATAGTCTGATTTGTAGGAAATTAGGCTTGAGTAATGGCTCAGACTTTTAACTATTATTTTTTTGTGAAAGAAATCTGTGCAGTGGACAAAGACTAACTTAATGCACAATTTAAACTTCTAATGAATTTGATGACATTTAAAAGTTCCAAAGGTCACCCCCATAACACTAAAGTCATTCTACTGAAGTAAAAAACAATTTAAAAATATTTGGAGAAAGAGCCAACCAATGTCATTAATACATATTATCTAGAGGTAAAGGGTAAAGGAGATGAAGCAGAGATATTCCATTATTATTATAACCACTGCTAAATAGAAGGCTGATGGTTCAAACCCACCAGCCACCCCTTGAAAGGCAGATTGGGCTGTCTACTTCTGTAGTGATATCACCTCTGAAACCCAAGGAGGGCTCACTATGAGTTGGGATTGACTCAACTGCAACGAGTTGTGTCTTTTGCTTGTTTGTTTGTTTGTTTGTTTGTTATTATTAATCCCAGCCTTTTCTTATGGGATGCATTCCATACCCATTAAAAAAAAAAAAAAAACAACTGTCATCCAGGTGATGTTTTGACATTCCTATATATCTTCCATAGTTTTAATAACAAATCTCATCTCGAATCATTAAAACACTTTTGTGTATGTGCTGTGTTTGTGTGTGTCTGTGTTATCCATAAAAAATAAATATCCACAATCAAGTAATAGCTTATATTTGTAGAGCAGCATAGTTTACACTTGCATGACCTCTGTGGACTTTAGAACTCTCTTGTAAATTTGATAAGACAACAATTATTTTTCTGTTTTGCAAATAAAAGAACAGAGAGAATAAGAGACTTATCCCAAATCACCTGAGGTTCTAAGTCAAAATCCAGGGATATTTTCATTGAGCTTTGCTGTCCCTTGGTTTGCTCTTTGTGTGATAAGAGGAGCAGAGATGCCACCTCCACTAAAGAAGAGACTAAAGTGCAATGGCAGAAATAGCAATGACTCTGGTGAAGAAAGGATCCAGACAAAGTGTTGGCTAATGGCCTGATTTATCAAAACTACTGCTCAGAGAAAAATGGACTAAAACTTACTTTTAAATTTCCCTGCCAAAATTCTGGAGTCTTAGGTGGTTGAACTTTGCTGTTCATGTGTAAATGGAAGCTATGAACTGAAGCTAATGTTACATTACTAGTTACCATTAAAATATATTTTATTTATATATGTACATATATATGTATAAATATATACTCTCCCAAATGCATGTCAATAAATCTTTCACTTTATTTTCAAAATAATATTTAGCCATATTACACAAGATTGTACACCAAAGATCAGTCATTCTTCTCTTGCGATTTGATTTTATGACTGAGTTAGCATTCATAATTAAAACAATACTAATTACAAAAATAACTGAAACATACCAGTGATCATGAAGATGGCATAGAATGGGGCAACATTTTGTTCTGTTACACATAAAGTTGCCATGAGTCAGAGGCAACTGGACAGCAACAAACAACAACAATAACAATTACAAAAATTGACCTGGTCTCCTGGCCAAAAAGACCTACCTGCTTTTTGACCTATCCATGTACATTTTATAACACCATCACCTAGTTTCAGTGCATAATTGAATTTTTCAGCACACATTCACACACTAATACACTCTACTACCCTTCTGAATGTAAAAATAAAAGTATCAGCTCCTTGTCCCTGGGCCTCACCTTGTGAAGTCCGTCATCTCCATCATGATCATGCACATCTGCTTGGCCAGCACAATGATGTCATTGCCACTGTCATCCCATTTAGCCACTTCAGCATCCAGCTTGCTTTTCTCTTGGTGGAAGATCTCCACCTGCTCAGCTATTTTTGCCTTCTCCTCCTGTGGTAGTTGTGCCATGATGGCCTGTGTGGGTTACAGACAAAGCATGACTAATGACAACAAAGGAACGGCAAACTGTCAGCTGACTCTGGCCCCTGTGAACAACAAAGTCAGGCAAAGCTAGGCACTGACAAGGGTTATGGTTGCCTGGCCATGCCGGGAAGTACGTCTTCCCGATCCCAGCAATTGCTAAAGTACAGTCTGGCAAAGTCCCCAAATTCCTCCTTCTCTACCCCCATATATGAAAACTACAGAGAGATCCAAAGGTACATGCACACAGCAGCAACAGAACTTCTCTGTCAGTTCGATGACATATGTTTGTTCAAAAGAATCTATTCTTGACAATTTTTATATTTGGTCCCTGCAAACTTTTACCAGATGAAAGAATGCACCTCTTTCAACACTGAAATCTGTTCAGAGAAGGGGAAAAAGAAAAAAGGCCTTCTGTTGCTGGAAAGGAGAGGAATTTTAAGCATTGTCTGAGCATCCAAATGAGGTGGGGCAGGAAGACTTTCTATGCGTGTTAATGAAGGAGTCCAGCTAGGTGCCATACAAGAATCCTATACCCCAGGCATCTGTAGGGATGGCTTGCCTAATTCTCAGCCCTTCTCCTTCTCCATAGAAAACCTGTAGTGATTATGACTCCCTCTAGAGCCTCTGAGTATTTAGGCAGAGAAGGTGTGATGACATAAAGTGCAGGCTTAAAAGCAAAAGATGATTTTTAAAAGGTGTCAGGTAAAGGGAGGTTTAAGAGGAAGAACTATTTGTTAAACACCATTTATGTATCTGGCTGGCCCTGAGAGAAATATTTCACATCACCTCACAGATACTGTGCAACCTGTTTTAGGGACAGGAGTGGGTGGATCGCTACTTCAACGCTACCATCTCCTTTATTCTAGGATCTATTCATTCTCCAGAAAGGAGACCCAGAGAATATCTCTTTGGCCCTACAGTTTTTTCTCATGAGCAAGTAAAATAATACAAGAAAACTGCTTCCTAAATTGTAAAACTCCTGCCAATGTGCATGAATTGTTTGGGGTCAGGGGGAGGCAACTGAGGTTTAACAGAAATATTAGAGGATGAGTGGTCAGCAAAAGTGGGCTGGACCAGGCTCTGTCACTCATGTGGGTTAAGACCTCAGCACTACATGGATCAGATTCTTGGATTTTGTTTTGTTTTTGCACCCAGGTAAGACTGTAGGAATAGTAAAAGATTATGGTAGATAGAATATGAAATAATAAATGTAAATGTGTTATCCAGACTAAATAAAAGTAAATATGTATGTAATTATTTTTACATTATATTATTATCATTGCTCCCTTTAATTTTCATTTATTCCTTCCCTCTACCTTATTTACTAATTGTGATTAAAAGACAAGGGATAGAACTAGACCTAACGTGACTATCTATAAATCGATTCTTGATGTGATTCCTTATATACACACATGTATGCTGGGTGCCATGCTAAACACTTTCCTTATGTCATACAATTTCATCTATTCAATTATTCTACCAGGTACATACAATTATTTTCCCATTTCATTAATATGTATATTATTACATATTATAATTAATTCAATTTCCAATGTCACACAACTCATAACATGTATAAATAGGATCCAAACCCAGGTCTGCTAAAGTTATTCTTAGCCATTGTGTAAGATTGCATCAACTGATTCAAAATACACAGCCATGCAGGTTACACACTGCACCATAGTCCCTATTTAAGTACAGCAAGGGCCTCAGGAATCCCAAGTGCTGACCACCAGGATATACATCCTGGTGATAGGCTTTATCTGCCCTGACGAAGGGGCACTTTTGTCTGATCTGCATAAATGTGGTCTTGGACTGATAATTGCCCAGATACATCTTCTTACCAATACAAAGCCATGTTCATGTTCATTTGTGACAGTATATAGTATGTGAGTATCTACATATGTATACACACACATATGTATGTCTCTATACATACATATATATACATATATATATACATATATATATATACATATGTATATATATTACAATATATTTTAAAAAGTCAAACTGGTAAAAATACTGTAGTTAATGTATTTAAAATATACTTTGAAAAAATTTTCAAACACTAGAAATATTCTTAACATACAAAATACTTTGTTATAGACTCAAAATTGTAGTATTATATTACTAACAAGGGAGCTATTACACTGCATATGAAATACATCTGGATTTATAGAAATTAAATATGTATAGTTACTTTCCTGATAAACTAACTAATGGTGCCTTGAATTCATTTGCCCTCCTCATGTAAAAGAACTAGTTGTGATTTACTTAGTCTTGGCAGGTCATAATCTAGCATGGTTTAAATCATTCACTAGGTGTTGCACAGTAGAAGAATCTTAAACTTACTCAGCAGACCTCCAATTCCCAGGTGGAAATCAATGCACTTTTCATCGTCCCAAAGGGCTAGTTTGTGCCTTGAAGGGCATACACTTCTCTGTCAACTATAACACTTGAGTTTTTATCATAAAATGCAGCATTTGAGTACCAACTGCCTTGTTTTAATCTCTAATTAATTCCTCCAACTGTCCAAACTCTGACTTTTCTATATGCTTTTTTTAGGGTAGAAGTCTCAGCATCCTAAACAATAGAAGCTCAGATCTTGTGTAAAACATTTTTTTCCAGTCACTGAAGCAACAGTTCTGGTGGTGTAGTGCCTAAGGCATTTGACTGCTAACAGAAGGCTGACGGTTCAAACTCACCAGCTACTCCTCAGAAGGAAGGTTGGGCAATCTACTTCTGTTATGCTACTGCCTTGGAAACTCAAGGAGGAGTCACTATGAGTCAGATCCGAGGACAGCAGTGAGGTTTTTTTGTTTGTTTGTTTTTGTTTTGTTTTGTTTTGGTTTTTAAGTAATAGTTCAAGAGAAGTTACCAGAACTGACATTTTTTTTTTTTTTTTTTTAATCACAATTCTGAAGAGAAAATGGCTCCTTTGAAACAGATTTGCAAAGGAAGATACTATTTTGACTCTGGGGGTGCTTGACCCACATAATGCACTTAATGATGTGTGTCTTGGGTGCAAGTGTCCTTATAGTTGCTCCTGCTTGTGTCACTATTGATGAGCAGAGCCTTTTACCAAATATTTTTTAAATATTCTTGGCTTTTAAAAATTTATAATTGACCTTTTATGAAATTGGAATTTAAAAAAAGGTTATCTATAAACAGTAGATCACAAACTGCAAAATTGGCAAGTTAATCAAATTAAAATTCAACACATGAGTTTTAATTAGGTCTTATCAATATAACTCAGCAGTTTGAAATGTTAACACATTAAAGCTATTGTAGCTAGGAAAAAAAAAAAAATCAGAGGTTAGCTCCATTCAAGTCAAATTAAATATAAAACATAACAAGCAATTGCTCATTCCCTCAAACTAAAGGAACAGGAGAATAATCATTTTCATGGCAAAAAGGAAATGGGAAAAATCAGCCTTCTGTTTGTGTGATGTAATCACCAGGGGAAGTCTGAGGGTTTCCGCTTCCTTTATTCACAATAGCAAAGCACAGCAATTCAGATTTGTTGATCTGGAGCCCAAAATCTGATGATAACAGAGACATAAATTCATTAGGATTATTATCGCCGCCTTCCAGGCTCCTTGCCTTTTTTCTGAACAGCTAACCCATTTTTGTGAATAATTTTATAAATTCTACCTATTTAATGGAAGTCTATGGGCCCCCAAAGTAACAAGTATTGTTCTCTTAAGATATAGCAAGTGACTAACATTAAGTTGTCAAGTACAAGAATTTTATAAAGGAGCTAAAAGTCAAAGTGTCCCTTTCTCCTCACTTGGTTTTAAGGTTGGATAACAAATATAAGTGGCTAAGGAATGGATCTTTTGTCTATTACCAGTCTCAGGCTGTGAAGTGAATTGGAAAATTGAGGTAAATTGTTCCATTAATTCAAGTAAAACTCTCATTATTGCTTATTCAGTTCTTTCAGGTTAAATTATTTGGCCAATCTTCTAATAGACTACTACTTCAAGCTACAATCATCATCATCTTCATCACTAATATAATAATCATTACAAAATTATATGACAATCCTTATATGGCGTAATGCATTTTATCATGCAATTCTCCTAACAACATTCTGTGTTAGGATGCTGTGTGTATTCTTCTACATACAATGAGATTATGCACGGTAAGGTTAAGAAAGTTGCCCTAAGTCTACACAGTTTGGAAGAGCCCATATATAAAATCAGGTCTGTGTGACTCCAAATTATACACCCTATAACCAAGGTTCAGTGCCCAAGAGTTATTGCTAACCAATGTTAACTATGTCAATGCATGAAGTAACAGTTTCAAAGATGTCATTTCTAGGATCAAAGGGTATGATCATCTCCACATTTTAGCAGATCACCACCATCTATTCTCCCCATCTTCTTTTCTCTCTTCCTCTCTCATTTGAAATATTGTAGACAAGCAGCAAGGCAGTGACACATAAAATGAATAAGAAATTCCAAAATTTGAGAATGATGGTGAGGTGCTGTGAAAGGTTTTCTCTTGTCTTAGTCTCATTTTATATTAATTTACCATATGCAGAGAGGAGGAATTTTTCTGAATGAGAACACAAAATAAGGCTATTAACAAGGAAGGTTTGGCTGCTGGCAAGAGCAACTGCCTCTCTCAAAGTCAACTTTTGCTTCTTTTATGATTTTGACCAAGTTAACAGAGTTCACTTGTCAAAAGTTCAATCAATTGTCACCTCAGCCATTCAATGCATCCTCTTATTTCCAACTTAATTGCCATAATTCTATGATTTGGTCTTTGATTTGTCATCATGTAATTACAGGCTAAAATGGATTGACTCAGGAACTAATGCTATCTGCTACAAGTTAATGCTACAGATCATATGATGGACCTCAAAGACAAGCTAGCCAGTGTTGGATCAAAGGAATATTTCACTCTTATCACCTTGAACCATATCCATAATTCATGCTGCAAATTCTTTCAATATGACAATAGGGTAAAGAAATAATAGATGATGTAGACAGGAGCCCTCTGACTTTCATTTAAACTCATTATCATTGACATGGCATCTAATATAAGTAACATGCATGAAATGGAAACACACCAAGATTCTATGCTTCATCCTAAAATATGGGACTGAACATGCCATTTTTAAGAAATGATGATTATAAAGCAAGATAAGGTTTGCACTACATGTCTTAGCCTTAGAGAAAATTTGTCAATGGATCTCAGACTCACTGCCATCAGTCAATTCCAACTCATAGCAACCTGCTGTAGGTTTCCAAGACTGTAAATCTTTACAGAAGCAGACTGCTCCACCTTTCTTTTGCACAGCAGCTAGTGGCTTTGAACCATCAATCTTTTGGCTAGCAGCCAAATGCCTTAACCAGTACACCACCAGATCTCCCTAGTCAATGGATACGAGGCTGCAGCTACACTGAGTTCCAGTAAGTTAATCAAATTGATTTTGAATTGATTGGCGTTTGAACGAATTACTCAAGCTCACCCTTTGTCACTGAAGTTATAATGCTGTTTCTACTTAATTTTGAAGATGAACTGAATTGATTGATTAATTTTGTGTTAAGCCAACATTGCTTTAGAAAACTCCATGCTTAACAAACTTCCCAATTTTAAACCTTTTTGAGCAAACCAAACTCACTGCTATCCAGTCAATTCTAACTCATAGCAACCCTCAATGGGTTTCCGTGGTTGTAAATCTTTACTAAGGTAAAGATTCTTCCTTATGTGGAACACCTGTTTGGTTTGAACCACTGACCTGGTTAGCAGTCAAATGCTTTATCCATTATGCCAGATAAAAGAGAATCCAAAAGGAATTTTTTAAATAGGTGCCCCATGCCCCCTTATATACATTTCTATCACTGGCATTTGATCAGAAGAAATTTATTTTACAAAATATGATAATTATCAGAGCCATCCTTTATTGACCATATAGTATATGTCAGATAGTGCACTGATTATTTTACAAATATTAAGTATTAAATGTGCAAAAAATACTATGAGGTAAGTTTATGATTCACATTTTACAAGTAACGAAACTGAAGCTCAGAGCAATTTCTTTGCATTTCTTTTATGTTAATCTGTAATCAGCTATTTACTAAAGAAGACTAATGCTTAGCTAAAATCCTTTATAAATCAGCCTTTCACACATTCTTGTCCCCCAAAGGCAAGTCAAACATGTCATTCAGTTTTTAAGGTCTCTGGGGACCCTGGGAGCGCTGGTGGTGTAGGGCCTAAGGCATCTGAATGCTAACCTAAGGCTCTTTTTATTACTACTACAATTTCACTCCAGTAGTTTCCTGAACTCTGTCACAAAATTAAAGAGAAACAGGTTCTTCTTTGAAGGAGTCTTGGTGGCACAGTGGTTACATTGCTTGGCTGTCAACCAGAAGATTGGTAGTTCAAAGCCACTTGCAGGAGAAAAATGTGGCAGTCTTAGTCCTTAAAGATTTACAGCATTGGAAACCCTATAGGGCAGTTCTACTCTATCATATATAGTGGCATAGGGCCACAATGTGTCAGAATCAACTCAAAGGCAGTGGTTGTGTATGTGTGAGGCTCTTCTCTGTTTTAAGCAAAAATAAAGAAAAAATCCCTGCATTTTTCCCTTAATAGTTTTTTTTTTTTTTTCTACCTCCAGAGACTTTGTAAATGTCATAAATTCTTTCACAATTCTTACTCTATAACTTTCCAGGGTTTCTCAATGACCATCCTAAATTACCACCTGTTCATCAACCTCATGCTTCCTATACTTAATCTTTTCTTAAATAAACATAGAGCATTAGAATATCTACTTCTCATTTATACTATATTTTAATTGCTCTTACCATAAGGAAATTGAGCCTTTAAAGGGAAGAGAAACTCATCTTCTTTTCCACTATGCAGAGATTTCATCTCCTGCCACCTACCTTGATTACCTGCATGTAGCCTGCACTAATCTGATTGGTTAGATCCTAGGATTGTCTGGATGATTTGTGCCACTGGACAGCATCACAGAGCATCCAAAGGTCAGAAAGAGCTGGTGTTCTCACTGATGCTTTCTGCTTCATGACTTATGCTAGCACATTTCTAGTATGTGTCTCTATAATATCTTCTTCTAGCATATGGCAGACAGACCTAGGGATACTGCTTTGGCCACAGGTAGGTATCACGGGCAAAACAAAAATAAAAAAAATATCTCATCTATTCTCTGATGGTCCTGAACCAACATCATAAGAAGCTGTTTTGTTTATTAGAGAACACAGGGTGATGTATGAAGCAACAGTTCTGCCAGTAATAAAGTAGTACTTTGATCTCCCATTTGTCATTGCATCATGTGCTATTAAAAAGCTGAGGGAATTGAAGCAGAAAAATGGTGACTGTGCCAATACAAGATCTGGGCATTCCTGGGTCCCCTGGCTGCTTAGCTATCTGATCAACCCCAAAAAATACCCACCATACACCATGAGCTTCATTTATGCTACATTTCAAGTGATAGAGAAGGAGGTGGGCTGGATGAAATCAGGAGTGGTTCAGGTTATTTCAGTCATATAAAATGTGACTTGCTATAAAAAATACCCAAAGTGACAGCATACATTTTTGAACCCTGAACTTCTGAGATCTCAAGCCCTTGAAATTCAGAATTTTTTTAATTCTCCAGTCAGTTTGGTGAACGCAGCCCCTCTACAACAAGCGAAAGCCCTGAATGTCCACTCACCCGTGCACTCTGCCCTGCAATGAGCTGGTCATCCTCAGTCTGGACACTTGTCCGGCTGCGCACATCATAATCTTCTTGCTCAAAGTCAGAATCATCCTCCAGTTCTTCTGGTGTCTAAAGATAAGAAAGAAAATAGGAAAACTGGCATATTTCCAATTGATGACCTTCACCCCATCCATGCACTTTTCTATTTCAAATCTTAAACAGCCCACAGAAAACAGCATATATGATTTAAGCATAGGCTGGTTTATGTGGGTGGATATTGGCTGAAACAGAGTCAGAAAAACTGAAATGTTCTAATTTATATATTTTTTAAAATTGTTTATTATTTGTTCCTACAGCTGTTCAAGGCTAAGTTTAACTCTTAATATGACATATTTTCCAATTTCAAGAAAAATTACATGTGTGTATTATTTGCACACATGCAAGCTTATGATAAGACTGAAAGTCACTATCACCAACAAAATCTGTACCTATAATTCTTCTATAACATCCCTCCTGCTCTATTCCATCTCTTTATTTAGTATCAATAAGGGAACAGACTGATCACCTCCAGGCCAGTGGCTAGGCTTGACAGGATATCTGATTTGGTCTCTAAGCCATGTAGTGTGTGGGTTACAAGTACAGATTCTGAAAATAAGACTCCAGAAAAAGATAACACTTTAGAAAAGTTGTCTCACTTCACTTGGTTCTGGTTTTCTCAGCTATGAATTGGCATGGATGCTGGTAATTAATAATAGGCTAATGACACTAATTGATTGTTGTGAAGAATAAGTAATGTCCACTGTATAGTGTCTGGTACATAGGAGATATTTAAAAATGTGTGCTATCATTATCACTAAAGATATTTAAAACAATTAATTCAAAAAACAATTTTTAAGTGAAACTACTGATTGCTACACACTCACTTGTTGTTGTTGTTGTTATGTGCCATCAAGTCAGACTTGACTCATAGTGACCCCTCCTTGGGTTTCCGTGGCAGTATAACTACAGAAGTAGATTGCCCAACCTTTCTTCTGAGGAGTGGCTGGTGGGTTTGAACCGCCAGCCTTCTGGTTAGCAGTCAAGTGCTTTAGGCACTACATTACCAGAGCTCCTACGCACTCACTAAGGATTAAATAATTCATAGAAGATATCAGTTAAGCTCAAAATAACATATGAAATAAGGATCATTCCCTATTTAGAGTTGAGAAAACAAAAGTTCAGAGAAGTAAGTAACTTGCCCAATGTCCCTGAACTAGTTAGTAATAGAACCAGAATTTGGAAAAAACACACGTTTGTTTGACTGAAAACACACTGCTCTTCATTAGTTGGCTTTTGTCTTTGTTGTTTGTTTTGTTGTTGTTTGTTTGCTGATTTAAAAAAGAATAAAATTATAAATTAGACAAGAACTGGAGCTAGGGGATTTTTTCAAAATGATCAGAATTAGATCAAGATCCAAAGTGATTAAAGTTATGTCAAGATTCTTTCCAATCTCTTTTGGTGGCTGTAAGTTCCAGGAGACACTGGCTGGACCACAATTACCAGACTTCATTGTCCCTACACCTTCGGACCTGCAGAAACTCCTCAATATCAGGAAAAAGGTAAGAATGAATCCATAAATCCAGAAACACTTCCCCCATCCTAATGATAATGGTAGTAGATAACATGCATTAAATGTTCACCTCTGCCTCTCACTGTTTTCTTTAAGTGCTTTACACACACTAACCCATGCAGTGCTCATAACAGTCTTATGTTATAGACATTGTTTTCTCCATTTTACCACTAAAGAAACTGATGCACAAAGACTTCTAATTCAAGTATATTGTACTCAATATTCTAAACCATCATATCCTATTGATTCTGCAACAATGAGCTCAAAAGGTGGTGAGGATGGTCCATAAAGGGAAGATAGTTCATCAGTGTAAGATTTTCAGCTCAACTGTCATTAACCTGAAAGATGAAAGTCATCCACAAACTGCCTGCTGACACATAGTATCACCACCTCCCAGGGTTCTAGCTCTCAAAAGGAAGGAACAGACCACAAACAGTACTGCTGGTGCTGTTGTCCATTCCTCATCCAAAAGGGAAAATTTTATTCCGATAGTTTCTTTGGCCATCTCTTGATAATTAATCAGGTATGGTTATTGATGAATCCTTGGTCAGACAGGCATAAAATGGGGTTCTTCATGCCAATATTGCATTATGCCTAGTAATTTTCCAAGCTTTGGCACATCCCTCTCATTTTTCCTTTTGTCTCACTATCAACAATATTAATAACTGCTCTCTCCTCTACAGATGCTCAATTTTCTTTCATAGGAACATTAAAAGGAGGTAAGAAAGATATTTTGTTCCCATACTTTATTAACTAAAGCAGAGGTAGGGTGGGCAGAACATGGATCAAATAATTGGTTTTATATTCATGTGGACAGACAAAAATCTCTGATCATTCCTCACTCTTTTGGAATGTACAGAAGAACAATTACAGCAAGTTGGTAAATTCTGCTGACAGATGAGATGACACGATTACAAGCACATTTCATCATTAGTTCTTGAAAGAGAAAGAAAAAAAGGGAAAACCTCACTCAACAGAACAAAAAGCAGATGATGACAGTGTCTATAGCAGTGTGTCCAAACATTTCAGTGATCTGTGCATTTAGCCAATGACTCAATAGCAAACCCAACCTGGAACAATAAAGATAAAAATGAGGAGACTTTATTCACCTTATTATGATTCAGGAACCAAAACAGTAAAAAATAAATAAATGAATAAATGGAAGTGAAGTGTTAAAACCTGGATGTGGACCAGGCTTTTTTATTTTATTTTTTTTACATTTTTTTTTCTGAATTTTTTAAAAAATATTTTTGCCCTGACTCTGTATTCATAAGCTGTGTGACTCTGTAAGTCACTGAACTTCAAGGCTTCTCTATTACCTCATTCTTAAAATGGAGAAAAAATTCTATTTGACCTGTAACCTCCTAGAACTCCTTGGCTCAGATGTATATGAAAATACTTTGTCAAGTATAAAAGGGAACTAAAGTAATAATAAACAATATGGTAAAAATATGCTTCATCATAAACTGTACACCAAATGCAATAATAATAATAATAGCAATCACTTTTTTACCACCCATTATGAACCAGGCAGGAGGACAAGGTAGCAGGATCCAGGGAAGGGGAGGGAGACAGGCCACACCCAAAAGGCGGGAAGGAGGGAAAGCTGGGACGAGGCAGCAGGATTCAGGTAAGGAGAGGGAGATAGGCCTCACCCTAAAGGCAGGGAGGAGGGAAAGCCGAGGATGACATGGTGGCAGGATCCAGGTAAGGGGAGGGTGGAGAGGTTTCAAACAGCTAAGGGAGATGAACTTGTCTGTCAGTTTGTTGTACCATGGTGGCTTGCGTGTTGCTATGAGGCTTGAGGCTGTGCCACCAGTGTTTCAAACATCAGCAGGGTTGCACATGATGCACAGGTTTCAAGGCAGCTTACAGACTGAGATGGACTAAGAAGAAGGAAGAGACCATCTACTTCTCAAATAATTGGCCAGGGAAAACCTTCTGAATAGCAGAGAAACACTGTCTGATACATTACTGGGTAACTTTATGAATAGCCTAGAAACATTGCCCAACACAGTGCAGGAAGACAAGCCCCTTAGGTCAAAAGGCACTCAAAATCCAACTGGGAAAGACCTGCCTCATCATTGTAGAAACAACCTTAATGATATGGATAAATTAAATCTTTCAGGACCTCCATTTGCTGACATGTCATGACTCAAATTGAGGAGAAACAGCTGCAAACACCCATTAATAATTGGAACATGGAATGTATGAAGTAAGAATATAGGAAAATTGGAAGTTGTCAAAAATGAAATGGAATGCACAAAGATTATAACCTAGGCATTAGTGAGCTGAAATTGACTGGTTTTGGCCATTTTGAATCAGATGACCATATCATCTACTATGCCAGGAATGACAATTTGAAGAGGAATGCCATGGCATTCATCATCACAAAGGATGTTTCGATAGCTCTCCTGAAGTACAATGCTGTTGGTGACAGGATAACATCCATATGCCTATGAGGAAGACCAGATGATACTACTATTAGTCAAATTTACTTATTAATCACCAAAGCCAAACATGAGGAAATTGAAGATTTTTATCAACTTCTTCAGTCTGAAATTGATCAACATACAATGAAGATGTGTTAATTATTACTAGTGACTGGAATGCAAAAGTTGAAAACTAAGAAGCATCAGTGGTAGTTGGAAAATTTGGGCTTGGTGACAGAAATAACGCTGGAGATCACACGATAGAATTTTACAAGACCAATGGCTTATTCACTGCAAATACCTTTTCTCAACAACACAAACCACGGCTATGCAAGTAGATTTCACCAGATGGAGTATACAGGAATCAGATTGACCACATCTGTGGCAAGAGGCCATGGAAAAGCTCAACATCTTTAGCCAAAACAAGGAGCTGATTGTGGAACAGACCATCAACTGCTCATATGCAAGTTCAACTTGAAGTTGAAGACAATTAAAACAAGTCCGCACAAGCCAAAATATGACCTTGATTATATCCCTCCTGAATTTAGAGACCACCCAAAGAATAGATTTGATGCATTGAAAACCAATGACCGAAAACCAGAAGAATTATGGGATGACATCAAGAACATCATCCATGAAGAAAGCAAGAGGTCATTCAAAAGACGAGAAAAGAAGAAAAGACCAAAATGGATGTGAGAAGAGACTCTGAAACTTGCCATTGACTGAATAGTGGCTAACACAAATGGAAGAAGTGACAAGATAAAAGAGCTGAACAGAAGATTTCAAAGAGCAGCTCAAGAAGATAAAGCCAATTACTATAATAAAATGTGCAAAGACCTCGAGTTAGAAAACCAAAAGGGTTCAGCATTTCTCAAGCAGAAAGAACCAAAGAAAAAAAAATTAAGCCTTGAGCTGCAATACTGAAAGATTCTGAGGGCAAAATATTGAATGATTCAGGAAACATCAAAAGAAGATGGAAGGAATATACAGAGTGACTGTACCAAAAAGAATTTGTCAATGTTCATCCATTTAAGGAGGTGGCATATGATCAAGAATCAATGGTTTTGAAGGAAGAAGCTGAAGCTGCA